CCTGTTTATTTCCGGTGGACATTAGACCTTTGATGAAATGTAACTACAAGCCTATCTCGATTCACTCTCCACAATGACTGCTATCAGCTCCATCTGTTCTCTGGTATTTCTGCCAGCTATAGGGGCTCCAACAGCTGTGCTGTGACTCCCAAACACCGGATGGCACTTAAATCAGCATTGGAAGCAAGCTTGGGGAGTTGTCCAGGAAGAGTTGCTGGGCTTTGGATCCTCCCTCTTTTCCAACCAGTTTGTGTTCAGCTGCTGTAGGTCCTAATAATGCCACTGGAGGTCAGCAGAGCACAACCACATTTAAATTAATAAACATAATTCAGTAAGTCATCATTATGCTCTGAAACCTCTGCATACTCAGCAAGAGACTCAAAATTGAAGGTGCAATGATGTGACTATTCTAAATGTGCGCATACACACTTTGCAAGGGCTGCAGTAGAAAGGTATGTGATCTGGAAGGCAGTTCTAAATCTTTACATTAAATACATGGTTTTTACAGTACTAGGGCTGTATGTCCTTAACTTTATTCCAGTTTAACGCTGAAAATATAAGAAAATATTTTACTTTTTGTTTTTCACCAGTGATACTTAACGTAGAGCCAGTAGGTAAATCAGAACTTTGAATTCTTTTAAATTCTTCTTCTTCTTTCAGCTGTTCCCTTTAGTGGTCGCTACAGCAGCTCATCTGCTTTCATCTCACTGTGTACCTAGCCTCCTCCTCTGTCACACCAACCCTCCAAATGTCATCCTTCGCCACATCCATAATTCTTCTCCGAGTTATTCTTTTTTTCCTCCTACCTGGTAGCTCCATATTCAACACATACACATATATAATTATGCATTATATATAATAATTATAATTTTCGGTCATTTAATTTTATATCTGTTACTTACTTTGGTGTTGCGCATGGCTTTGGGAGGGGTCTTTATCAATAGAAAAACTTTGAAACTTATCAAAATACAGTTGAAAGTCCAAAATTTATGACCTCCTTCCCACTTTCCAAAGCCATCCAGTGGCCTGGGTTGTGGAGTCTTTGCCTGGCTGATTCTGGCCTGTTGACCTTGTGTTTGAAACACCTGATTTAGGCATAGACTGGTACAGGTGTCATTCTCTAAGTTACTTTTTCTAGCTGTTGTGTGAAGATATTTTCTAAAACAAGTTGAAATCTAGTGAGAGGGCAGGCAGTTGTGATTGAAACAGCAAAGATTTTCCCTCTCACACGGCTTTTATTTGTACTTTATCCTCAGTTTATCCAGGTAAAAAAATATTAAATTTCATTTTCAAGAGAGACTTGATGCCAGAACACTGTGACTTGGCTTACGTGCCTCAAGTAGTCAGTTACTCACTGGCAATAACATTAAAGCACACACAAAAAAAATAATAGTAAAATGTTTTCGAACCAAATCTCAGAAAACTACATTGTTTTATTAAGTGCTTACGGCATGACGCTCACATATTCTCCACATTCCTGATGCACCGACTGTCTGTCTCTTTTGAGATTTTCTACACCATTACAGAGACGCTCTTGCTCAAAGTTTCTCTTGCCTTCTTTCTCCTGAGGCTCTTGAGAGTTTACAGCCTTCCCTTGAGCATGTATTGTTCTCAAAAACAGGCCAATAGAATCTGTATAACAGAAAGTCTGTATAATGGTCTTTGTTATTCCTCTTGCTATCATTTGATACAGCTGTATTGATTTATATATCCACATTAGTGTTGGCTAAAGGGCACCATGTAAAGTAAACACTGTGTAACAATGTGATGTAGTTTCCATGTATTAAATGTTTTTTTTTCTTGCCTTGAGCCGACAGATTGTTGTGTGAGCACTAATGTCAAGCAGTCCCGGTGCTCCTAAACTCCACATGAAGTTAAGAACTAAAAGCTGATCTGGCTTCAGATTTTGTTTTCTTGGAATAAGAGATTAAACTTGGGTTGCATTGGGTTTTCTGCATTAGCAGCGGGTAAGTTGCTGTTAGATCACATTAAAACCAATTTTATCAGGTGCTGCCCATCAAGCTAAATGGGAATGTGTCCAACATAATGGAAAATGCTGGCAGTGAATTTGATTCATGGAACGATCTTATTTTGGTTAATTCAAATCTTACCTTTATGAAACAAAAGTTAAACGAATAAAGACAACAGGAATAAACACTAAACCAGATTAGCAACCTGCAGGTGTTTTACTGTAGTCTGAATTATCTGATGAGTTTGTAAACTTGTACTTTTTTTGTTTGGTTTCTTTTCACACTCGCACCCCCCCCCCAAAGCAAACTCCAGATGGACCAATAGGTGTCCCTACAAGCCACATGAGAATTTGTGGTCTGTTCATCGGTCATTGGTGTAAAACATAAAGTAAATGCAGGAAGAAGTTGATGTGTTCTGGCATACTGGATTACAATTTACATTAATTTTATGGCTGACTGTTTGTGTACGCCGCACATCTGTGGCAACCTGCTACATCCCAGAATGCAAAGCATACCTGGCAATGGGAAGGCGTTTAGTCTTTTGGAATTGGACTGAGGCCACCTTCTCTAAAGGTCTTCTTGGCCCTGTGGTTTTGGTGCACGCTTAAGTCCAATTACCGTCTTCACACCTGCCCACGTGAACCACACCAAGGCAGAAGACAAACCAGAGGTAGATTTAAATGAACCAGATAGTTATTACTACTACTGTGAC